ATCCAATGATAACCCAAAGATTTTGCCCTTTGTACGTTAAAACTTCAAATCTCTCACATTGTCATGTACAAATATGGACATGCATGAAGAACAAGCAGGCATGCAGAGCGATTGCAGCTATGAACAAATACACTTTTGGCATTTACAAAGAAAATCCACATTGGTGATTGACTCATACATTTGGTAGTTCTTTCTGAGGTTTAGCTTGAGGGATTTGAGCCGCTGGAACTACAGGTGCCGGTGGAATCGTATCTTCTGGGATCTTCCCGTCAGCAGCCTTATTCAGATCCACTAGGCCAGGTATGAAAGCACTTTCTCTAGCCACCTAACCAGCAAATACACACACAAATAGATACACACATGATTTAGACACTTATTCACTATTATGTGCAACAGAGTTCAAATATGTGACATATTTTGGTTGTGAACAACACTATTGTGAATATCTTAGCACTATGGTATATGAATGTATGCAAGTATGTGTTGTTGCTGTGATGAATGAGGGATGGCTGACCAGTGAGTCGATCTTATCTGATGGTTGAGCATTTTCAGGTTCCTTTGGAAGAAATTTCTCCAGGAAACTAGGCAACTTGATGTCATCAAAGGAAGGAAGTGGTGGAGGAGCAATAGCATCTGTTACTTTAGTGACAGTGAGATCTACTGGAGTTGTTTTCAGGGTCGGTCCATCAGGTTGCAGAACATCAGAACCAGTCTGGGTACTGATGAGAAGTGGTGGGGCATTAGAGTCTGTAAACATAGTGACTGTGGGGTCTCTTGAAGTTGTTCTGAGATCAGGTGTCATGGCAGGTTCATCATCCTTGATGGGTTTTAGAACATATTGTGAACCAGACTGTGCATAACTAGATGTTGGAGGAGCTTTAATGTCTGTCAACATGGTGACTGGAGGGTCTAATGAAGTCGTTTTCAAGTCAGGTGTCAGTGTAGGTCCATCATCTTTCATAGGTTTTGGTACAAACTGGGAACTAGTCTGGGTACCAATGGGAGGAGAAGGAGCGTTAGTGTCTGTTGAAAGAGTGACCGTGGGGTCTCTTGAAGTTGTTTTGAGGTCAGGTATCACGGCAGGCCCAATGTCCTTGCTAGGTTTTAGAATAACCTGAGAACCAGACTGGGTATCATGGCTCTCATTCTTAGCTAGGGTTTCCTCTACTGGGACCAGTTTAGGTGGTTCTGTAGTTGGTGCTAGTTGTGATTGTGGAGGTGCTGTAGACCCAGAACCATCGCTTGGTGATAACAGCCCATCTGAAGGACACTCAGTGGGGCTTAAAAACTCCATTCGTCTCCCTTTGCTGGGACTGCATAGAATGCTGACAATTGAGCACCTCTCCAAACGAGACTTTGCCTTCAGTGGTTCTGTTCTATTCTCATCTGATCCTTCCTCTTTTTCTACCTCTTCTTTTTCAGACTCCTTCCTTGCTCTCTGGAAGATCAGGGACCTTGTGAGGATGCTCTCTCGCTTAGGTTTGGTGTCCTCCTCCTTGACTATTGTGGCTTGACTCTTGGATATCGAACTGGGTGCCAGATTCAAAATGAATTCCCTCCTTCGCCTCAAGCCATACTGGAACTCCTCCGGATCAAAGGGCTTCTCAAGGCGGTCTTCTTTGATGGCAGGCATGGCAAACGGAGGTGTTTGCAGGCGATGTTTGTTATGTTTGCGTTGAGGAAGATTGAACGGAATTGCTAGCCGTTTCACATTTGTAATGAAGTCATCTGGGTCAAACTCTCCCGATGTGTTCTGGAGGTTGGTCTCACTCACAGAGGAGCTGAGCTTAGGTTCTGAAATCAACAGCTTCTTTCTTATGGGACATTGGTGATCCACATCAAGCCAGCTAGATGGAGAGTCCCTGCTCTGGGA